TATGCTAGTACCCTCAAATCGCCCTCATATTACTCTTATATTACCCTAATACCACCCCCTCCCCACCTTACCATCCAATTATCCTCGCTTTAACCTCATGTGACTGACATATTGTCTTCATTTCGCCATGCACTGTGTTACGAGTATTCATTATTCAGTTTGTTCCCATTTGTCTACAGGATCATTTCCAAAATGGCTGTCGGGTTCACTTTACCGAAACGGAAGTGGTCTCTTCCAAATCGGAGAGACGAGGCCCACCCACCTCTTTGATGGCTTCTCTGTGATCCATCGATGGTCAATCAAGGATGGAGGGGTCACTTTTTTGTCCTCCATTCTGGACTCTGATTCGTACAAAAAGTCTGTGAAATGCGAGAGAGTGGTGGGACAATATTTTGCCTCCACTTTTCCTGACCCATGCAAAAGTACTTTTGATAAGTGAGTACAGAATTTCATAACAAAGAAAACAAAAAATAATTTCGTATATTTAGCACATCTCGATTCCACAAGTCTTCTCTCTCTCTCTCTCTCTCTCTCTCTCTCTCTCTCTCTCTCTCTCTCTCTCTCTCTCTCTCTCTCTTTAATTTTCAGTTGTCCTCTTTCTTTACTGCAAACTTTCTCTATTTCTTTCTCTCACTCTCTCTCTCTCTCTCTCTCTCAAACACACACACACACACACACACACATACATACACACACACTTACATACATGTATACAGATGCTGCATTGTCTTTTAAAAATAAACGGGTGAGGCAAATGTAGGTGTGCATATCCCTTCTCACTGTCGACTTAAAGCTTTCACGTCCATCCCCGGTAGAATCGAGCTAAACAAGTAAGTGCCACTGATAGGTCCTGCTTTTCTTTACCACTGTTGCTTGTGTCTGCCTGTCTTGATTTTATCGGGCACCAAATGATCATTATCTCGTGGATGTGCTGTTTGTCTGTGCTCAACCAAGTCAAACATGCTTTAACAGAATTTATAGCAATATTCAGCTCTAAAAGAATGCCTGAATGTATTCAGAAAAATGTTATGCCACTGAATCAGTCTGAAGTATTTGGTCAAGAAACAAAAACTGAAATGTGTGAACAAGGTTTGAGAACTATGACTTTGTTATGGTAAATTTTAATTTTATGCCTCAGTACCCATCCTTCCCCCTCCACCACCCTCACCCTCAAATAACAGTAGAAATTCTCAGCAAGTTTTACAAAATCTATCACTTCATAAACAGGTTGCAAGTGTTTACCAGTCAACACCCTCTCCTAGATGAAGGGTCAGATTTATGTCTCGCGTTCGATTCACAGAGCAGCATGTTAACTCGCAATGGTGAAGGCCGAGAGATTTAAGTTCAGAAACATACAGTGGCGTCCGCTTAAACCGAAATCTGCGGGACTGCTATTTTTTCTTCCGTTTAGCCATGTTTTCGGTGAAGAGAAGTTGACTGAATAGAAGGAAAAAAATTGGGATTATATTTTCTTTCGATCTACTGCTGTTTTTAGATTAAATGCATCCAGTTTTAGCGGACTTTTTGTTTGTTAGTTTTTCACTGCACTGCGTTTTCTGAGGGATTCCTTATCAAGGCGAGTCGTAGATATTATGTGTAAAAAGTAATGCTTTCAAAGCTCAGATCTTTGAATCAAGACTCATGCTTCTGTTTGTTACAGATTCTTCTCCTACTTCAAAAAAGAAGAAGATGACAACACATTTGTAAGCATCGTTGAGCACGGAGACCGACTTTTCACGTTCACGGAGAGCACATCTATCCATGAAGTGGACGGGGAGACCATGCATTCAATCGGCAAAGTAAGAAGATCCTCATTTAAGTACTTCTCAAGCATTTCATAGACAATATAATGTTGATGAAAGGGCGTTTTTAAAGAATGCAGGTACTTGAATATATTATGTCTGTAAAAGTAAACGTAAGCTGACTAATCAAGAGCATATTATTTATTATCTTTTGTTTGTTTTCTTTTGGTAAGCGTTTTACAGTGCTTTCAACTGCATAAGGTCATATGAGCGCACGGCACACAGTAAACATTTAAAGATTTATAGGTATTAATTTTAAATTTTGCTCGGGTGGCGGCCGAAGCCTAGTCTTATCGATTTTATGACCACCAAGGGATCTTTTGTGAGCGTAACTTGCACATAAGACCTCCAAGATTTTTTGTTCTTATTCGAAAAGGCAATGTGTCAGATCCTACCTACCTTACGATCCGGGGGTGTGTCTGATAGACAGCAGTAAGAAGAAGCCAAGGAGTAGAGGTAGAAAAGCTGTAGAAAGAGGAGCCTAGATGAGGGGGCAAAGACGGGAGGGGAGAAAGTGAAGACGAAAGCAGACGACAGAACATGATTAAAGAGCAGGAAAGGTGAAATGAGAAAATTTAGGGAAGAAAATTTTCCGTTGCTGTCGGGTTTCGAACCCAGAACCTATTGAATGAGAGGTGAATACCGTAACTTGTAGACTATGAGAGCTCCCCCTAATGATGTTTGACATATCTGACTTTGCAAAACGTACATTTTATGATACTTAGGTATGTGGTATTACGCTATTCCATGTAAGAAAATACTTACTAAAGTCTTAAGTTATGTAGGTGTGTGTACTATAATATAATGTTATTATGTACTTGTGTGTGTGTGTTTGTGTGTGTGTGTGTGTATGTGTGCGTGTGTGTGTGTGTGTGTGTGTGTGTGTGTGTGTGTGTGTGCGCGTGAGCGTGCTTTACCATAACACACAGACCATGTGCGTTTGATTCCCCTGACAGAAGGGTTGTTTATCGACTATCCCCATCTGTCTACTAGGGCATTGTTCCCTTCTAGGCATGGTTTGGCCTTAATGATGTAAAGCGTCTCAATGAAACTTCTACACTTATATTGTTGCAGGTGGATCTCAAAAATGTACTTGCCGTCCATATGGGCACAGCTCACCCGCACATAGACAGGGATGGAACCATGTACTACTACGCCACAAATGTACAGGACGCACAGAAAACTTACAACATCGTGAAAGTTCCACCAGCTGGCAAAGGAGAAGGTAAGTTACTCTCTAGTCTTCTCTACTGGACAGGAAATCAGTAAATGGGCCGTCCATGAAAAATGAAACTGCACTGGCACACGTAACGTGGAAATAATGACATACTGAGAAACATATTAAGCTGTAAAAGAATAAAATAAAACATTTTGCCCCCCCCCCCCCGGCAACCACCCAACCCCTCTTAACGGCTTTTTTACTGCTCAGAATTTATTTTCAGGTCATCATATCGGCATTAACAGTTAACAAAGTTAAGAACGTTAAGATTATTTTATCTTTTAAAGCCAGTTTTATACAATCGCTTGTTCACCTTCGTCTCTCCATGTAAAAAAAATCCGGCCAGAGTCCTCAGCGCAGGATTTTGTTTCGAGCAGTTTCTGTCTCGTCTTCAAATCGCTTTCCCCTTAGTCCTTCTTTTGGTTTGTGGGAAAAATGAAAGCGCAGATTGTTTAAAAAATCATAGCAGGTCATGAAACATGGACGTATTCATGGGGTCCAGAACTGAAGCGACAGTCTGAAAATTGGAGAAACCCAGGATCACCATGACCTCAGAAAGCTCAACGCAAGTAAAGTACTTTGAAAGTGATACACATTGTGCTTTAAATTGGTGATTTTCAAATAGCCAGTACCCGCTGGGACAGTGGGACAGGTCAATGCTAATTAATTATTACAAGAAGAATTTTTAGACAAAACAGAGACCAGCAATTAGCAGAAAGCGACCGGATCTGCTTGAGCAAGGTGTTGCCTTCCATCAAGACAACGCACCTGAGCATACTGCCGAAAGGTCACCGATCACCTGGACTCCTGGCAAAGGGAAATGCTTGAACATCCCAACTAGCTGCAGTCTTAGCGCCACGCCACTTCCATTTTCCCCAAGCAAAAGAAGGACTATGATGGTAGTGGTTTGAAGACTAGGAAAGAACTGTACTCGAAACAAATGCTGCGCCTAGGATTCTGCCCGAAATGGACGTAGTCACTGCATTTGACTTCTGGCTTGATCAGTGAAGATAATGCACTGAGATTAATTAACGATTATTACGCTCTTATATTAAATAGAAAACATGTTAATGAAACTATGTACACAATTGCGTACCTGTGGTTTAAAACTCTTTTGATTTTCACTGAACAGGGAAACTTATTTTTCGGACAGACTTTGTATATTATGCTTTTGACTTTGGAAAAAAAGAGATTGATTAGTTGAATTCTTACATTGTTAGCAAGGAATTATTTCGAAATGAATTGTTTACTTATGGGAATATTAATGTATTAACAGCAAATAATATGATAATGTATTATGGTGTCTCTAATGCTTATGCTGTTATTATCCGGTATGACGAGTATGATAGTTTAATTTCCGTAAGGAAAAATAATCATTTGATTATTTTTTAAATTTGGAGCGATTCCTGTTCTGGCTCTTTAAAAGTGTCCTGTTAGAATACTTTATAAACTTCTATCTTTTCCGTTCAATTTTAATCTTTCTAGTTTGTTCAAATTTTAAGGCGTCTGATGTTTCTCTGTCAGCTCCTTTTTCGAAGGTAGAAATTGTGGCGTCTATACCACGTCGTTGGAAGTGGAACATTGGTTACGCCCATTCGTTTGGTATTTCGGAAAACTACTTCATCCATCTGGAGCAGCCGCTGGCTCTGAACATGCCCAAACTGATGACCATAGGATTTTGGGGAGGGATTGAACAGTGCTTGAACAACTACCCGGAGGAAACGGTAAGTGTTCAGAGTTTTTAAAGTTTTAGTAAGTTTTGCAATTATGGAATTTCTTAAACACTTGAAAATACACGTAAAGGCCTTGAGCATATTATAGCTCTCACTGCCAAAACTCAAGACAAACAAGGCAGGGTTAGTCCCAGAGCAACCTACTTGGAGAGCCTAAAAAGATGGTTAACGTGAAAAGGTAAGGAAAATGTAGCTTTTTTATAGAACATCCGAGCAAAAGAATGAATGGAGAACCATTATCTTTGACGTCTGTCGCATATCTGACACTTGATGATGATGAAGAGTTTTACGGCACTTCCAACAGATATCACAGGTTAAGAAATTTAAATCTAGATTTTTTTTTAAATTGGCTAAGTACACTATTCTGAGAAAGCTGGCCGACGTTACTTTTTTAATTGACGACGGATTTCAAAATATGTGGAGATATAGGGAGTTGACAAAGTCACCCACAGAAAAAAAAAATGATGCACTTTTCTTTCAGATCCAAATCCATGTTGTGGATAGGAGAACAGGCCAGAGACTTCCCATAAACTTCTACACTCCTCACGGCTTTGTGTTCCACTTCGTTAACTGCTATGAGGAGTCCGGTTTCTTGATCTGTGATGTTTGTATGAACAAGAGTGGAGGGTAAGAAAATAGTGAGAAGATGCCTTGAATATTTCTTGAGTTCTTGCTGTGTCTCTTCAAAGTAGTAGAATTTGTTTACTCTATTGAACTGAACAGATGAGAGACGGTGAAAATCCAGAACAATATTCTATTTTTTTCGAGAGTATCTGAACAGCGAAATTAGAGGCAAACCACGATCGGCGACGTCTGTTGCAGATCTGACATATCATGATGATGAATAAATTGAATTCAGTGGTTTAGAAGCAAAAACTCTATTACTGTCTAAACATTTCCTTAAATATGCTCTTTGTTCTTGCAAAAGTTACCAGATGATGCTGGGCATTTTCATGGGTTAGTGGAGGCTCCAGTGACAAATTTAACTCCATTATTTTCCCATTTAGGGAATTTTTGTTTCTGTCTATGGTCCTTCTCATGCCAAAATTCTTCTCTTTACTCAAAATAACAGCTCTTTTTTGCTCTTTTTTGTTCTTTTTTCTGGTTTGCAGTTTTATCCGTGAGCTGTACTTGGAGAATATTGTCCGCCTGATGAAATCAAATGCAGACTTTTTGTGTTATTATGCTAGATTTGTGTTGCCACTCAACATTGACAAAGTGAGTAGCTCTTGCGTAATTGCACTTATGTTTTTCGCCCGCATGAATATACATGTAGTTTAGATCATCCAGGACGTGGACCAGTTCAATCCTGCCTGTCATGGCTAACCAGGGCTGAGTGAAGTACAGTGACCCAGCAGACAGACGGAGATACTCGATAAGAAATACTTCGAATTTGGGAATCACATCTCCCACGGGAAACATCAAAATGTGAAAAATAGTGTGGTTGTGACTCTATGAAATCTGTACACTGACTGTATCAATGATCCATGAGCGACTCTGTCAGTTTCTGGGTAACTTTTGAGTTTTTATGGTTACCCGGAAGTGTCATCTCTGGTTCAGGGGTTGATCTGCAAAGAACTGCCAGTGCTTACGGTCTTTAACTGTTGTGATACACTCTGTCAAAAACTAAGGTCAGTCCGTGCCTTTATGATATTCGTCCAGGTTGTTCTTTGTCCATTCTTGGCAACTGTGCCCCACATCTTTCCCTCGGGTATTTTCTTTATGATATTCTGGTTGTATTTTCTACTTTTCATCTTGTTAAGCTAGGATTATCGTTTGTGGAGAATCTGATACATCTAATTTTAGTTAGTTTTGCTTTCCAGAACATTCTGGGGTCTTGGCAAGAAGAATAAGTTTTGCCGAAACCTTTATCCAAAATAATGATTATTCACTCTTGATGAAAAAAACTCAACTGTATAGAATACTCGTTTTCCTTGTGCCTTCTATTTTACTAAGGATGTTATTGTTAGGTTTGTCTTCCTATTGCTTTAGATTTATTATAGAGATCGCGAATTTTGTTAAAACATGAAACAGACGGAATGTTCAAGCCCATTATGAATGTCTATATGCTAGTTTTATTTTTATTTATTTATTTATTTATTTTTAAATTGATTTTGAAATTTAAAATATGAATGTTTTCAGGCCAAAGAAGGCGAGAATTTGGTTACAGTCTCTGGCTCAAAAGCTACGGCTGTGCTCAGACCTGGCTCAGGCAACTGTGTCGACGTCACCAATGATGCTATTTTTGGAGGTTTGTGTCCCTTTTCTTCCATACTTTGGACGGCACGCTATTGCCTCAGTTCTATGTAACGATTGGTTGTGGCCTGAATGGTCTTGATTGGAGTAGCCTAGTGGAACATGATAGATTATTTACTGAAATATGAGTAGAAGTGGAACATCATGAAATGCGTTATCGGACAGTACTGAGTCTGCACGCTGCGCTCCCAGGACCTGGAGCTGGAAAACTGAAGTCGGAGGTGTTCAGCCTCAGACACACCCTGGAAAACCACAATACCACGTAATACTGTAGACGTGGCCAGCTCCATTAACACTATAGTGCGGTCAAAAATTCATGGCGCAACTGGTTGTAAAATATCTCCTCAACTATCGAAGATAGACTCCCCAACTTTAGCACAATGTCTCGTATCAACCTGTCTTACTTAACAAGTCATTATTTTTGTAAAAACCTGTTTGCTCTACCCTAAAAAATTCCTTAATAAATATAAGTAAAAAATCCAAATGGGTGGTTTCTACAGATTTTAAAAGGTTTATAGGCGGGGCAATATCGCTTTAAAAAGCAAGTCCGTTATTTTTTTCTATTTGCTAAATGCTTATTGAATGCATGTTTTGAGAACCTTTAAATTTAAAAACCAAAAAAGTGTGTTCACTATACTCATAAAATTATTTTTTTTGTAACAAGTTTTGCCACTAAAAAGTATCATTAGTTAGCTGTGACGTAGGTCATATGCGTAGATCTATGCAAAATGTGTATGAGAAGCGGGAAGTGCTGTGAACAATATCAATTTCCGCGTGACGAAGGTTTATAGTATTTACTATACTATACATTTATGAAGAATTTTAAAAAAAATCTAGCCTGAACTTTTGTGGAAAAAATATGATTAAGTTCAGACAAATGATATAAACTGCTGTGAAAAATACGGGTGACATTGATTCACCGATTAAAAAGATATTTGAGGATAGGTTGCGCTGTGAATTTTGGACCTCACTATAGATGAAAAGCTGTACTGGCCAACAGTTGAACTGAGCAGGAAAGAGAGCAGTATTTAATCATAGATACCAGATATAATTTGGGCGGCTAAGCTATTTGGTTAAATGGTTTGCAGACTTTGCACTTGTCAGAAACAAAGATCTAGTCTATTTTATACTCTTCTAAGTGAGTTTTATGAAGTTTGTGGGAACAATGTTTCTGCTACCATGCAGTAAGCGAAATTTTACTAAATATTAAGACAAGGGAAGGTTTCTAGAGTCGAAATATATTTTAATTCAAGTCTATAATTATACGTCTCTATTTTTTTTTTACAGGTTCTGCATTCTTTGAGCTGCCCAGAATCAACTATGATTTCAATGGAAGGAAGATCAGATATGCATATGGTAGCTCAGTCCTTAATCCGACCAATCAAAGGGTATTTTCATTTTCATATACTTGCGTTTTTTGAAATTCTAAACTCTGCTAGAGTTGCTGTAATAATGTGAATGTTAGCGACTTCTGACACTCATATATCATATATCATGTATATATGAATGTATAAACACCCCCCCCCCCCCCACATAAACACACAAACGCAAGCACACACACACACGATATATATATATATATATAATGTGTGTGTATGTGTATGTGTATTTGTGTGTGTATGTGTGTGTGTGTGTGTGTGTGTGTGTGTGTGTGTGTGTGTGTGTGTGTGGTTGTGTGTGTGTGTGTGTTTGTAAAGAAAATGATATTATGCCTACAAAGCCTGGCATTAAAATAACTGACACCACTCGGGTGGTCTCCGCTGTTCACTGAAATTACCAAATCACCCAGTGTTTGCTTTGGGGGATGGGGGTAGGTATCGCCTAGGTTGGGAAATTACTGACCGAAACTATTCTAATGTTCAATAACATTAGGTATGTTGCTGGCCCTATGAAGCGGTTGATCTTTCTTCTTCCTGCTTATGGTGCACTAGCAGGACTTGACATAATGGAGGGAATAAACAGAACGTATTATAAAGAACCTGTCATTTCGACACAGTTATCTGAGTAGACACTCCCTCCTCGACTGGGTGACCAAAAAAAAATGATATCCTATGCTTTATTAATCCTCATGCGAAGAAATACATTTTATGTATAAAAGTAGTCTATTTACTGAAACGAACGTGAATTATATCGTCGTACGATAACAAATTTGACACCTTCCCTCTCCAGGTCATGAAATTTGACCTCCACGAGAGAAAGATGACAGAGTGGAAGTGTGATGACAAGCACTACCCCGGAGAGCCCGTGTTTGTCAAAGACCCGGCAGGGACTTCAGAGGATGATGGTGGGTACAGTGTTGGTGTTAGAGCACGACACGCACTCCAGTGTTTATTTTTTAAAGAGACATAGAATATGTTCTTTGAACACGAAGCTCTTTCCAGGAGGAGCCTATTCATAGTTGAAGACTTTGTTTTCAAGGATAAGAGTTTCTGTCGTCAAAGCTTGATTCTGCTGTCTACACGTCTTTTGCAGTGTATATGCAAATAGTTAAGGTGTTATTAAGTTAAGTTATTTAGTATGCAGACGACTTGCGTTCGAATCCCGTTAGGGGCATTCTTGAATTTGGATTATTTGGAGGGTTTGTCAAGCCTACTTGGCTCATGTTGGTAGCGATCATTCCGGGGAGAATTTCCGTCTTTAAGTGTTGAAAGTGGAATTGAAATCATGTCATACGTTTGTAATGGTCACAAGGAAGGCACCTCTCTTTCTGTGGCGTTGGTTCTCCGGCGGTTTGGCTATAGGACCCGTTCTCGGGAGACTGCATGTTCAGACTGCGAGGCTGAGCTCAGCCCAACGATGTGTTCTTTGGAAGGGAACTTTACGCATTGTCTCCATTTCGTTCGGTCCTATCGGAAGTGGTCGTTAAATTTGGGGGCCCTGCCTTTTTAGATAACCTTTGAAGCTCAAAACTATACGAGTTAGCAATTTATATATCACTACATATCATTTGTGTACCTGATTTCTCGTACTCTGTACTGAGACTCGCAGTAAACGTCTCTGAGAAACTGAGGCGTATGTATCACAATTTCCTTGAGATACTAAATCTTTTCTGTCTCATTTTCTCTGAGAAACTTAAGCCATTTTATAACAACTTAATTGGTGACAGTTTCCAACTTAGAACTACATGGCTGGAGGCGCCGAGGATAGATTTTGCCGTCCCGGCTGGAAATTCTCATATGTGAGGATTCCCTCTAGAAGTAAAAAAACCCCCAGACATTTTTTGCTGGAAGCCTGAGAATAGTAATCGCTACCGACAGAGTAAAGTTAGCTTGCAGAGAAAAGATCACTGTTTTTAAGCGAAAGAGAGCGGCGCAGGACGATTTGAAAGAATATTTTGCTGTGCAAATTGAACCCGTTCTTAGAGATGAAAAGTAAAAATGTAAAAAGCAGTATAAGTTTATTTGATACTTAACAGACTCTGTGATAAGTACCTGTGTATTTTGCCGCTGCTGTGGGTTTAGTACAGCATTGCAACATCTTTACAGTTACATATTATACATATTAAGGTGTAAAAGGTATTGATATTGTTGACATATGCATCAAATTAAACGCGTTTTCACCTGCAAGCAGGAATTATTTTCTTGAATTCCATAAAAGTGGTTGGAAATGTCCTAATACGTTTGGAACTCAGTTTATCAGTAGTGATATTGACCCATCTCCCCCCCCCACCTCTCTCTCTCCCTCTCCCTCTCTCCCTCTCTCTCTCTCTCTCTCTCTCTCTCTCTCTCTCTCTCTTTCTCTCTCTCTCTCTCCCACACACACCCGCGCCCTCCCAACTTATACCTCATCCATTTGTACAGGTGTTGTGCTGTGTCCAGTGTTGGCTGCAACCACAGAGCAATCCTCATACCTCGTTGTGCTGGACGCCGCAAGCTTCAAGGAACTAGGCCGAGCCACCGTGCCACCAGATATAAAAATGAGCGTCTCTTTCCATGGAGATTTCTACAAAAGGTTTTCATGAAATTGGATATCTATGTCGCCATCTAGGTTTCTATCCGAACTCAGCTTTGTGATGTTTTATCCACAGTACAAGTTTATTTGTTAGCCTGTGTATGCTACTATTATTGCACTCAAGTCCCAAAAGATGTGATTTACCCATTAATAATGTTACTGTTTTAAAATGCCACAAGAATAGCCTTGTTTTGATACTTGTATTTGATAGAAGGATGTAGCACTAGAGCACACAACGTATTTCCACTGTACCGAGTCACAAAGGACGAATAGACCGAATTCACAAGGGACGCAATGATGAGCATCTCTCATGTTGACGTGCCTGGTTGTTTCCCTTGCCCTAGCATGTCTTGCTGCAGGATGGCCCTGGACTTCGCACTCACAGAGCTGTTCAAAGTTCTCTCACTGTTTATATCGCTGTTGGCTGTGTACGACATCGTGGTCTTCTCGTGGAAAGACAAAAATTGTCTTGTTCCTGCGGGCGCTTTGGGGACAAAAAGATATTGTGTAGGTTTAACACCCTTTGTAACACTGTTAGGTTATTAAAAAAGCGGGACCTCCGAATTTAACGCCCGTCTCCGACGGGACCAAGCCCAATAGGTAAATTCGTGGAAAGTGCCTTTCCTTTGTACACAGTATTGACCAAGCTGAGATTCGAACCCCGAACCTGCAATCTCACTATCAAACCACTAGACTGCCGACGCCACTGTGTGCACCTTCACAGTGAAGACTTGAAGACTCGTTTGCAGCTGGAAGTTGTAGAAGAGTAAGCCTTCTCAACTGTCTTCCTGAAAAAACAAAACATGAAAACTATTATTTCTTGTTGTTTATGTGTATTTTGTGGTGAGAAATGGAGGGAGTTGAACGTGTCTCTATGTTGTATGCTTTTTTAAATTATTTTTTTTAAAATCTGATTTTGGTATATTGGGTATAAATGTTTAACATCTCCCCCAATCCCTCCCTCCACCAAAGGGACATACTTTACATCAGTGTTTCAACACGTACTTTTGACCCCCTTTGAGAGGCCAATCGTTCCGTACCACCCACCTACATGTACTTCCAAGTGTTCCCCATGGCTCATCATAATGAGCAACTGCCCCACTTGTGGGTGATGTCGCCCACGTTTAGTTCTATATGTCAATGTGGTATTTTCATTGATTCAAATGATAGACACACTTTGATAAAGAAAATTCTATCAATTTTAAAACCTGGCGGATTTAGAAAATTGGAACCAATAATAGTAGACATTGTGTCTTCAGAATTGTTTATTCTACCCTGGAATTAGAATTGGCTTTCACCAAACTATGGGGCATGGCTTGTGCAGAATACCACTATAGTTCAACCTTATGAAATGAAATATTAGGATGAGCAATAATGACTGTAAAAACTCAATAACTGCATAAAATGAAAATATAATAATATGTCACAGTGCCATCAAATACAATACATGTTCAAATGTCATAACATTAACTTCTCGAGTTATCGTTATAATGTGTGGTGTCAACATTTCCTCTGTGATTCTTGGAATATTGAATTTAACATATTATATATATATATATATATATATATATATATATATATATATATATATATATATATATATATATATATATATATATATATATATAAATATATATATAAAAGTTACCTTTACTTCAAGCTATATTTAATGAGTACTCTCCTGTTGAACTGTCGACGCATGAGATCCAAGTCCCATAACATAATCAATTGGAGAGCATTGCAATTTTTATAGAGTATCTCCGTCTTTCTTCTGGAATGTTGAGTCCTTCTTAGCCCGGGTTAGCCGTGGCAGGCAGGATCGAAGCCCGCCTCCTAAATGACCTTGATTGTGTTGATGGGGAAAAAACCACGTTTACATTTAAAAGTAAAATATTGTTTTCTCATATGAGTATATCAAATGATATATTGTGTCTCTAAGCCGTTCACATATTGTTATATAAACTATTCAAATTATATTACAGCACAGTATCTCTTGGGAATTCCTTCTCTACCTTGTTTTCCTAATATCTGCTTCGGTCTTGTCCTTTTCCTATTAATAACTACCTCCAGCGCAGAAACTAATAAAAAGGAGGAGAGGAAGAAGAGGTTTTGAAATGGGAAGATGAGGAGCAGGAAGAGTGAAAGAAAAACAGCACAGAATGAGAAGATATAGATGAAGATCAAAGGATATCACTAAAAAAAAAAAAAAAGAAAAAGAAAAAAAAAAGAGGAGCATTAACTTTGATAAATTGCCAGTTGGTAATCCTTGATCTAAAACGATCTCATTCGTTAAATCATAACTTACACTGTTCCCTTCCATAACACGGTTCTGCTCGTACTATTACAGGAATAGCACTTGAGTATATCTGTCGACAGGAATAGCACTTGAGTATATCTGTCGACAGGAATTGTATGTATGTATGTATGTATGTATGTATGTATGTATGTATGTATGTATGTATGTATGTATGTGTGTATGTGTGTGTGTGTGTGTGTGTGTGTGTGTGTGTGTGTGTGTGTGTGTGTGTGTGTGTGTGAGAGAGAGAGAGAGAGAGAGAGAGAGAGAGAGAGAGAGAGAGAGAGAGAGAGAGAATGTGTATGTGTGAATATTTCTGTATGTGTGTACGTGCGTGTGTAAGTATGGGTGTGTATGTGTGAGTGTGTGTGTTTGTGCGTGTATGTGTTTGTGTGTGTACGTATGATATGTGTGCGCAAGCATGCCCGTGAATGTGTGCGAGCTCGTGTTTCTCAGTAAGTAGAAGAAAAAAAAGCTATGGCGGGTGGGGAAAATAGTCATTATGTCTGGAGATAACATTACAATCTCCCAACTCAACACCTTAGGGAAATTCCTCCATTTGCATCGCTATTTGCGAGACCAGCCGTTGACTGGCCACATCCGTCCTGTGGGAACTGAAGGTTCTATACATAGCTCGCTTTGTGGACACAGCACACTCACGGATTGTGTGTCGCTTCTCACGTGCACACACTTAGTTTGTCCAACCCTTGTTAAGAAAAAATATTGAAGCAGGGAGAAGTCTGAAAAGCGGCAAAACACACATACATGTACTCATTTAAGAGAAAATGTGGGGCATTCTGCGGTGTTTAAATGAAATTGTCTATATTTGGTACATGTGTATCAACATGTATGATACCCTTTAGACTTCTGCGTTCTTGCGGTAAAACGGTACTGGTAATGAAAACATGTCCATATAATGAGTGAGTTATAGCGAACAATTTTGATAATGATAAATACATTGCAAGATTTGTTATGACATACAGAGACATCAGTCAGTGTCGTTCTACTATCTCTCAGTCACTTTCTTTCTCGGTGATAGATCTAGACACCCATCCAGTCTCATCGAAATATTCGAAGGAAAACAATCGGCGTCTGTGGTGTATACACACACATAATTATTGTAAGTGCGTGCGTTCGTTTGTACGCAGCAAGTCTCCAACAACAGTGGTTCCTCGCTTGTTTCAATTATTCTTAATGTTGATAAGCACGGTAAGGCTGAGCCGCAGTCTTTATTTGTGACATAGAAATAGAATACGCCCATCCGCGGAATTTACCTGAGGATATAAGTTATCAAGTGGAGAATCTGTCTGCTTTTGCTAGATTCCATCCCTCCAGCCCGCTAAGGGCCAAAACCTAGGATATTAGATTATCATTAGATGACTCCCGTAAATGGTGTAAAAGTACTTATGGAGACAAAGATCTATCTAGCCATATATTCAGATGTCAGTTATTCGTTATTGTATCTCTTTTCTAGCTACGTCATCCGATTTAGCCTGTATTTATTGCATTCTCAGAACTCTCTGCCTTGTCCATCCTCCACATAAAATGTGTTTTACAGCTGGAGTAAACACACATTGTGATACCGTGGTATCATATTGTTTCTTATAGCCAATGCCCTCTTTTGGGGCAGCGATTTGACACTTACATTAAAAAAAGGAAAAGTTCTCTCTCTGGTCAAAGTGAAATGGTAGATAGCATAATGGGTTTAACCCCCCTATCAACACTATTGGGTTATTTAAGAGGCGGGGCCTCCTAGTTTAACGTCCGTCTCCGAAAGGACCGAGCCAAGTGGGAAATTCGTTTAAAGAGCCCCCTTTCCCAAGGACACAACTTCGGACCGAGGTGAGGCTCGAACCCCCGAACCCGCAATCTCACGACCCCGAGTCCGGTAGTCTAACCACTAGGCTACCCACTTCTCTTTCTAATCATGAGACGATGTGCTCCCCTCAGCCCTTACAGGCGGGGTCGAAGCCCACCTCCTAAAATGATCAAAATGATTCTGTCAACGGGCCTTGAAACACCTACATTTATATTTAGACAACTCCCTCTCCAAAAAAAACCCCCAATAACCCCTAAAACAACCAAAAACAAAGAGAAACCCAAAACCAGAAAAAAATATATAAAAAACAAAACAAACATGAAAATCAAATAAATTAAAATGAAATAAAGCAAAATAGCAACACCCCCCCCCCACCCCTAAAAAATCCCACACAAAAACAAAAATAAAATAAAAAACTAACTCAAGAGCAAGGACTGAAAACAACGATTGCCTTCTCTTGCCCCAGGCAGAACGAGACAATGAATGTTACTGTGCTCATGTTAAAGATAGCAACTGTAGCTTAGATGAAATGGCCAAACGAAGCCCTGAAGACAGTAGTTTGGTATTTGAATCCGAACCATCAAAGCCGAGTACAGATCTCTCCCTCTCTCTCTCTCTCTCTCTCTCTCTCTCTCTCTCTCTCTCTCTCTCTCTCTCTCTCTCTCTCTCTCTCTCTCTCTCTCTCCCTCTCTCTCTCTCTCTCTCTCTCTCTCTCTCTCTCTCTCTCTCTCTCTCTCCGTCTGTCTATTTCTTGCTTTCTATCCCCCCCTTCACCCCCCCATTCCCTCTTCTCTACCAATCTTGGATGATTCAAACCATGTTACAGCATTAAATTTCCTTTTCTGGTAAATTATCCCCTGTACGACCGCTTCAAAAATCGAACCCTATCGTAAAACCTTAAATCTCGTTTTCCAGGGAACATAGTGAACGGTATGGAAAAGGACGGTTGGAAATGAATAACAATCTTTACTCTGTCCACTTGTGCTCAAGACGTGTGTCTGTAAGAAAATCAAGAATTGTGTTAACCAAGCCATGGCCAAGTTAATCTTCGGATGTTGTACTCGTAAGCATTTTGTATACATGTAAAAAAAAAACCAGTTGTAGCTTTGGCACGTTAGTTTTATCTGCTGTATTTTATATATTTTCCTTGTATTTTTTCACATTAAACTTTTTCAATTGGTAGGTATTTTTTTTAAATTTAGCCCGGATAGCGACCGAAGCCTACTCTTATCGATTTTAGACCACCAAGGGATCTTTAACGTGCGCAACTTGCTCACAAGACCTCCGAGATTTTCCGCTCTTGTCCAAGAAGGTTATGTGTAGAGTGTAGATCTTTCCTACCAGAAGATCAGGGATGTGGCTGAAAGACAGCAGTAAGAAGGAGCCAAGAGGTAGCTGTATAAAAGCTGCAGAAAGATTCAGAAGCCCAGAGGAGGGGGCAAAGGAAAAGAGGGGGTGAGGGCAAAAAGAGGAGACGGAAGTAGACGACAGATTATAATCTACATTTTTTCTTTGTCAACTTTTTCAATGTTAAAACAATCAGATATTGTTCAGTTCTAATTTTAAAACCTCTTCACCCATTGTACGATAATAGGTTCATGTTTGATTGAAAGTTGATAAGCTGCCACACCTCTGGGCGGGGCTGTGTTTTTGAATCTTAATGAATAAACATTGGTCAAAATGAATTTCGAACCCCACCCTACTCATTCTCAAAACAAGTTAACACGTTCTCTGATCCGCCCGAGACTGTTTACAGCCTGTTGATATCAGTGTTGCGAAGGCTTGGCAGCAAAAGGGTGAAACGTGTTTTTGGCCCGATGCGTCATTCCCTAGTGAATGGAAACCCCGGATGTGCAGATTAGGTCAAATAAGTTCCAGATGTAGCACTGAAGTTCATCTTTAGTTTTAGTTTTAGTAGAGGTTTTACGGCACTCGCAACTGCATAAGGTCATATGAGCGCCAGACGATTAGAGATGTTACAAGAGAGTAACAAACATAAAAAAGAAGAAGGGGAGATAAGGACTATAGGTGTTTAATACAAAAGAAAAAGGAAACCACACAAGAGCACCCGCCAACCACCCACAAAGTTCATCTTGCCAAATATTGATTCTCCTCTTTATTGCAATGAATGTCCCTTTTACTTGTCGTTGAAGGCGACAGACACAGAAGCTTCTAGCTTCTTAGCAACAACTGCAGTATTTTATGTACCAGTAATATAATGATCGCAATTAAGTAATAGTAATTAATGATAGCTTCTATGCTTTTAGCATGCTATCAATATGCACTTTTATTATACTTTTATTACCACAACAGACATTGAAAAACTCATAACTATTCTCGTATTCCCCGGAAGCA